TATATATATATCAAGCAAGAAGAAAGATCACACGCACACACATAGACAGAGAGGCACTCAGCCCCACAGCCTCCATTCGACCCCGCAAACTGCTGCTACCACTTTACTCCGTGAAGCCACTACTAAAAGCCTCTCCCCCCAGACCCCCACAGAGGCAGATACAAAACTCCCATACACACCCATTCCCGCACCCATTTACTTTTCTCCCTACTACCTTTTTTTTGTCTCTCACTACATTTTATACGTACGCCGCCCACATCTCAGGCTTTGTGTGGTAGCCGTCCTTCCGCATCATCTTCGGGTATTTTGCCTTTAGGATATCCTGGTAGCTTTGTGCCCACAGCATGTCAAGTGTGATGGGGAAGTCAACCTTTGTCGGTTCCTCGATGATAGGCGCCCACGGCTCAATCTTCTTACTGCGCGCGCCAAAGATGGTGCCTGTGTCGTCGACAAGGCCCCAGTCGGACACGGATTCACGCAGCGCTCGCGTCCAGTATTGCTTCAACGCAAACAAACCCCCATCAAGCTCCTCTGTGATGGGTATCTGGCAGCTGAAGCGCGTGTTGTATGTAATGTCTGGGCGGTCCATGGAACGCCAATTCGTGAGTGACGTGTATTCCCATCTGTTCGGCGGCAGCAGACGATCAAGCGTCTCAATGTCGACATTCACGAGGCAGCCATCGCCGTGGTGCCAGTCGGAGCAGTCGGGGTTGTTGCACTTCCCCCAGTAGTGTGCGAAGCCGTGGCACATGCCAGACCCATCAATCAGCGTATTGAGCGTCACGTCTGGCATCGGATACAGGCGGAAGTGGTATGGATGGCCGTCGAAGCCGACAATTGTGATGTTGATCAGCTTTGTCTTGTACTTGCTGTCATACACCTTCCCGTCAACGGCGTACGTCTGGCTCAGCTTGCGCGCCACTGATTTCTCCGGTAGTTTGCCGCTGCGGCGCTTCTCCCGGTAGTTGAGCTTGTCGCACATAATCTCCGCCTTCTTGAGCGGCTGCTGCAGACAATTCCGGTGCGATACCTGCCAGCGCCCCGCCTTCTGTGTCTCCGCGAGCTCCTCAATCTCGTTGTACATGTGCGGGATTATGCGATACGAGCGAGCTGCGGACAGGGCAAGCGCCGCGCCGACGCCTGCTGCGGTGGCAGCCGTGGAGGCAGTAAGAGGCCGGCGAAGCATCGCGGCAGCCCCTCCTCTAATTTGCTACGAGTAACGCTGCCTCCCCCCGCCCCCACAAAAATAAAGAAAAAACACAAGGGCAAACAAAACCAGAGAAAATAAATGAAGAATGAAATAATAACAACAACAACAAGAAAAACGAAGATGGAAGCAGACACTTCTTGGATGGAGTTTAAGCTCGTCTCAGTCACCTAGAGAAAACGCGCAGAGACGATAGGAAGAAAGTGTCATCATCCGCAATAGGCAAGCAGTCCGTGCGGGAAAACAGAAGAAGGCCAATGATGAGGACTCCAATTCAGGGGACAGAAAACAACAACACAAACTACCCTTCTCCGCATCATCAAATGGATTTTTTTTTTGCTTGTTCCGTATTGTTATATCTCGTTTTCTTTTTTTTCTATTTTGTGTGCTTCATCTCCATACACTTCTCTCCCTTACGTGTTTTCTCCTCTCTATTCACCTCCGTCAGTCCTCGTCCATGATGTCCAGCAGGTCTTGGCCCGCCCCCAGTGGCTTTGTGGCTGTCTTGTCGGCACGCAGCCCGTCTACGATGCGCAGCAGCTCCTTGTTTTGCGCCTGCACATCCGTTTTGCTCATCCGGCTCACAGGAAGCGCCGGCGCGGGCCTGCTGCCAACTGAAGGTGGCACTCCATCCTCGTCCCTGTCACCAACGCATTGTGCGTCATCGTCGAGGTCTTCGCTGGCATCATCGAAAAGGCTCAGCTTGAAGGTCTGCTGCGGGGCCTTGCTTCCGCATGCGACGAGCTGCGACAAGTAATTCAGTTCACCCGTCACTGCCTTCAGAGTCTCGGGGCGCACAGCTGCCTGTTGGTTTTGCTGTAGTAGTGATGCCGATTCTGAGGGTATTGCGTGTGGTGAGACATCCGACACCCGACCGGAGCGGCGGTGGAGGGCGTACAAATTTAAGCCACTCTTCGTCATGCGCGATGCTCGGTCCTTTGGGTTCCACATACCAACTGGTATCGTTGGTGGGTGGCGCAGTGCAGCATCGCGGTGCTCAAACGTGACGGTGTTGCTGACTTCCCCACTCTTGTTGTAGAAGCGGATGCTGCCAGGCGCCTCATACGCGGCCAGTGGTGGAAGATATTTATCATCTGGTAAGTAAAACGATCTTGTTGGTGCCTGCAGGCCCTCTTCAAGCAGCACAGACACCAATGTGTTGCGGCCAATGAAGAAATTCAGTATCTCCTTTCGAATCTCCGCGAGGTGGCCTGGGGTAAGAGATGAACACAGTGCATCAAGCCGTGCGAAAAGTGGGCGGAGGTGCACCTGTGTCTCGGGCGGGAGGAGGCGCTGCACCTCCTCCAAGTGCGTCCACGTAAACTCCACCAACTCCATGGGGTGGCGCAGGGTGAAGACCTGGTACTTCACCCCCATCGTCATGAGGTCAAAAAGCTTATTCATTGACACTGTCGAGAGCCCCATCACAGACGTCTTCGAGAGGGACCTGAATGTTTCCTTTGTTGCGGCGTAAGAGTACAGTGGCTGTGGACGGAAGAGCTCATCTATGAACTCTGGGTTGCACATGTGCCGCACGATATCGTTCATCACAACACGCGCCGCATCCTTATTCACCTTCTGAGCGATAAGGCGCGTGTTGAGAATGAAAAGCATCTCCATCCCATAGTTGAGGATGAGAAAGGGGAGGGAGCCAGCCGCCATTCACTACAATAGGGCTAAAAAGGCAGACTACGCACGACGTCTACCTTGAGGTGTGTGGAAATATCTATCTATCTATATATATATATATATATCTATATAGATAGATAGATAGATAGATATAGGTGGGATAGCAGTTCTTATCGTGTGAGAGAAACCCAGTAAAAAGAAAAGGAGGAAAAATGTGAGGACATACCATAAGTTCTTTTTGCCTTTTCGGTGGCTACGCACCCAGAGACCCAACACCGACAGGCCCATAGGCTCCCCCCTAGCCACACACACACACACACACACAGAAACACGTATACACTGTGTCGCCAAAGCAGAGGTATCACCCCACACACATTTAAGATGTTAGTATTGCTCTTACTCCTTGTTTCCTCCTTCCTCGCCGGAACTGATGTTGCTCTTCGCATTATCGTTACGAATACAGAGACAAACACAGACGGAAGTGCGCACGTGCATCCTCGCACCACCTCAGCTGCGCCGCGTCTTCTTGGACCGCTTGAAAGCACGTTGCAGACCTGTTGTGCTTTCTGAACCATTCCTTGCTCCCACTGATGCCTTCTTGGCATCACGTAGCAGCGTGGTGTCCACGTTGACTGTGCGCCGGACCTTTTTCTCCACCGATAATCCAACCACACGCCCTTCATTGTCGTAAATCTCGCGGGCATCCTCCTCACCTTCTTCGTCCTCTGCCCCCTCCTCTTCCCTCCCCTCGTGACTGTTGCTGTCTGGTGCCTTCAGTCTCTGTAGGCGAGTGAAGTGCTCAACAATACGAGAAACGCCCTTCTGTAAAAAGGCGCGTAGCTGCTGCACAGGCACACCTGCAAAGGCCATCTGCTGCGACACCTGTTCCACCGTCTGGCACTGCAAGCCCACCGCGAGCAGCACCGCCGCCTGAGCGTGTGAGAGCACAACACCCTCCGCACCATCCGGCAGGCGATGCAACTTGCCCTCAAAGTAAATCTTAGCCAATGCGGGGAGGAGGTCAAGCACCTGGCCACCCTCCACGAAGGTGGTGGCGTTGAGCTTTAGCCGCTTCATGTCGTTGTTGCTAAAGATTGCCTGTAGATCTTGCCATTTGCACTGTGTCTGTCCACCCACACGCACAATATGTTCCGTGGCCTGGGAGAGGTCAGTAGCCGCTGCCAACTTCTGTGGATCGTTGACGTCGAGCTCATTCAATATACTCAGCGCCAGCTCCGTCGGGAGGTCACGGAACGGCATTGCGAGCAGTGGGATGAAGCGGCGGCGGAACTCAGCCCGCAGAAGCGCGAGGTCAAAGCCAATTGGACGCACCATCACACAGCTGTGCTCCCCTGTGAGCTCATTCGCTGCATGGCGCAGATACAGCGACTCGTACCCGGCGCGCTTCCAGAAGTTAAAGAGTGGCGTCGTCACACCAAAGCTCACGCCGAGGTAGTCAACAACCTCGTAGGGACGCTCAACCAGTGGAGTTAGAAGGCTTGGAATGCGCTTGCGTGGGGCGATAACGGTGTTTCCGGCCTCATCCTCCGGCACCTCCGCTGCACCACTGTCCTCCGCGGGCGACGAGGTTGCAGCTCGGAGGGAAATAGATCCGCTGTAGTACTCTTGCAGCAAGGCGAGCGCACGGGAGCCGTATCCAGCACGTTGTAGCTCCGGGTTGGTGGCAATGCGTACGATACGGAGACCTGCAAGCTTCGCGAAGCCCTCCTCAAGGTAGCATTGTGACAGCGTGTACGGGATGAGGTCGCCTGAGGGACGCACGCCACGGTTAAGATTACTCTTGATGGCTTCCGACGTTACTTGACCCTCTTCACAGGCGTGAATGACGCAGAAGACGTCAGGGAGATTGTCCTTCGCCTCCACTGTCGTGGAGCACAGGAGGAATAGGTGATGTCCTGGTGCGTCTGACATAAGCTGTAAATCATTGGGTTGATTCTTGTAGTGTGCAGCAACCAGCATTGCCACAATCGTCTGTAGCAGTTGCTCTGCCAGCGGGTGGTATGAGAAAAGCGCGTCGCGGTTGACATAGTAGAGCTCGCATTTACTGGGGTGCGGACATGACTTCACCGCCACCGGCCGCACTGTGGCGTCGAGGCAGAGCAGTTTATGTAGCCACGATTCCACCGGGTCGTTAGGGCCGTAACGGATGGGGTCTGCCATCGCGATTTCGCGGAGGAACCGACGGTCTTCACCGCTGCTTGCAGAACCAGCAGCAGCAGCAGCAGCAACCGACGTGGAAGCAGCGGCTTCACCGACGCACCGCTTGCGCATGTCTGCGATGAGCTTCATGGAGAGGCTGCGGCCTGTCCCCTCATAGCCGGAGACGGTCGACGACAGAAAGACAAGGTACGGGCCGAGCATCTGCTTTACAATCGGCAGTGGCAGCGCCGCAGCCTCATCGATGATGGCCAACTCCGCCTGCGCAAACTTTGCGGTGTCATGGGGTGAAATGTACTGCACAGTCTGGCGGTGCTCGCGGAAGACGTTGACGCGAATGATGCACTTGCTAAACTCCACATTGGTGCTCTGCATCGCCTCAAAATCGCTACGCTCCTTGTACCCCATATCCTGGAGCCCCCGCACAACAAACTCAAAGAATGTCTGCAAGTTCTCAGGGGATGGCGCTGTGCAGAAAATGTTGCTGTAACCTTGCGCCAACGCTCCTGCTGCGGCAAGGCCAAGTGCTGCTGACTTGCCGCGACCACGGCCTGCCGTCACGACACAGGTTGTGTTCAGTGATTTCTCCATAACCGTCTGCATAAGCGAGAGTACCGTCTTGCCCTGGTCAAGGGTTTGGCAGAGTGCCACAAGTGGGCCCACCTCAGTGCTCGCACGCAGACGCTCCTTTAGTGTGGCTAAATCCGCCTCGTGCTTCTGCCGACCTTGCAGCATAAGTTCGGCGTCGTAACTTGCAGCACGCGCACTCTCCACCGTCTGCATCTTTGCGGTGATCGGCAACACGTTGAGGTCGTCGTCAACACAAAGTGCGGTATCGCAGTCCACCAGGGAAAGCAGAAAGCGCTCGTTAAAGCGTGGTACCACGTCTCGCAGCGCCTCTGTGCGGTAGCGTGCGTGCACGTCCATGGCGATAGTGTACAGCTGCCTTAGTGACCGCATGGCGCGGAACATGATGACCACAACGCCGCCGCCCTTCACCGTCTCGATTGTTCGCGCGAGTGTGTTAGGCGTGATGGCCTCGAAGTCCTGCAGAACCGCCATTCCAAAGGTCTGGCCGAGGATCTTGTGTGTCTCCTTGTACTGACAGAAGCGGATCGGCGTCTGTGCGAGAAAGGTCTGGAATGCCTCCTTTGTCACCTCCGTCGACATACCGCCCTTCACCTCGAGGCGCGCACGTTTCTCCTGCTGCTTCTTGCCGGTGGAACCGAAGTCCGGCTCCTTCTTCATGCACCACAGCATGTTGACCTTGGCGTTGTGGTTAGCGTGCGAGACCATTTGGTGCAGGTTGACGATTTGGTCCTTCCCACGGTCGCCGACGAGGAGGATTAATGCGCGGTGCCTCTTGTGCACGGCGTTGTCGATGAGGTGGCGAATGCGGTCGTCCACCTTCCGCTTAATCGTCACGCCGCTGGTGTGACGCGCGGTGGATGCGACGGATGCGGAGGACATGATTCCACGTTGTACTTATAATTAACTCACCTGATCCTGCCTCTTTTGTAGTTTATTTCGTTCTCTCTCTCTCTCTCTCTATAAATATATATATAGATGTGCGTGTATATGTATACTTATAGCTTGCCCCCTCACTGTCTGTGACTTATAGCTGTTGGCACTGAAGTTATCTCCCGCTGTAGTCTTGCTATTAGTAGTATGGCCCTCTTCGGCCACCCCTTTTTTAATCGGTATGCGCTGCAACGGTGCTGTAGCAACGATCGCAACAGTCACAAATAGCAACAACCAAAAGCAATCACCAGTAGAGGCGGAAAAAGAATATATGAAGAGAGTATACATGTTGAGGAAGGAGGAGGAGGAGGGTGCCTTGGGGAGAGTGTTGTGCAGTGGCCCTATCATGCAGGGCCAATCATCTACGCAACTCCGCGGGTCAATATAACTTCTTGCCTTGCGCCTCAATATACCCAACAAGTGCACAGCAGACCACAAAAGAACACTAAAAACAAAGGAAGAATTAGTCATACAAGCGCAGGACGGCGTCACTCAGATTGCTGTCGGGGCGGGGTGGTCTGCGCCACGTTCGCAACATTCATCATGTCGTGTACAAGTCTCGATAAGTTGTCCTCAGGGGCGAGGTACAACACGATGGGGGTCTTCTCCCGCTCGCAGCGCTGGAAGTGTGCAAAGGAGTGCAGCTCGCGGTACGCCGAGAGCACCACCTGCCGCCCCGACTTCTCGTGGTGGAAGCGCACACACAGAGTGGCAGGGTCCAGCACCATGAGGTGGCGCTCGTGAAACCGCGAGCAGCAGCGCTCCTTCAGCTGCGCCACCGTCATGCCGGGCAACACGCGCAGCTTCGTCTCCACACTCCACCCGTCCGCGTTGCTGTAGTGGACGGCGACGATGAACGGCGACGCCTCTGAGTGGCTTGCTGGGTCGGAGGAGGAAATCGGCATCGGGGCACCACCGCTGCCGCTCACAGGTAGCAACTGGGGGTAAGGAAAATTGAGAGGGCTGCTTCTGCTTGCACTGCCGCCGCCACCGTCACCGTTTTCTGTCACAAGCTCCTGCTGCTGATCTGCGCTAAATCCCGCCGCTGACGCTGCCGTCAGGCCACTGGAGGACGCCAGAACATATGAAGGCATGCGCGTGGGACGGTGGTGGTGGCGGCGCTGCTGGCGCGTGCTACAACTGCCGGTCAGTTCAAGATTATTTTCCTCGCCGAAGGAATCGTTGCCAGAGTTCATGCCATCCGAAGTGGCATCCACCTGACACGCCCGACTCACCTTTGTACTCTGTCGTGCGTTCCTCAGGGCAGTCGCCTCGATATGAAACGTCGCCTCGTTAAGCTTTTCCTGCAGCTCCTGTGTCGTCTGTTGCAGCGTGATGTTCTCAGAGAGCAAAGAGCGCTCTCGTTCCTGACTGGTTCTCAGCGCCGACTTTACACGCCGCTTCCACACAGCCATCTGCGCCTCCATCTCCGCCAGCTTCGACTGTAACTCGGTGTTGCTGCCGTGAGGCAGCGATGGCTCCGCATCACGCAGAGCACCAAGAGAGGAATCACGTCCCTGTCGCACTGCAGCGGCCTCCTCTGTCGCGTACAGTGTGCCATTGGTTTCGGATTTCACTGGTGACACACTGCTGTTGCACCGCGCCGCGCTAGGCGAGCCTTCCACCAAACTGCCACTGACGTCGGTCGTGAAGGTGAAGGAATTCATTGCATGCATCTCCTCCTCACGCCGCTGCAGCTGCCGGCGGAGAACGACAACTTTCTCCGCCAGCTGCACTGCCACCTCGCTGTGGACCACGTCCTCCGCGCTCAGCTCATTTATTTGCCGCTGAAGGGACTCGTTGAGGCGCACAAGGCGCCGCACCTCCGCGGCGTCTAGTGTAGCATTTGTACTACAGGAGGCCCCCACTGCTTCTCTTGTTGCTTCCACGGTCTCCGGGGCCTTATAGGCATTGCAGCCATCGTCCGTTGCTTTCCTCGAGCTGAAGAGAGGGCCAAAGAGGGATTGCATGCTGGAAAGAGAAGGGGGGACACGGCGCGGCAAATCCCCACGCAGGGTGCTCTGTAGGAGGCGTGTGCCTCACTCCCGTAACGGCAGTTGTTTCCGCTGTTGCGACTGCTAGTGGGGTCCCGCCGTTGTTGTTGTTTTTTTTTCGTTTCGCGCCTCGTCCTGCACGCGTGCCGCTCGCCCAATCGCAGCAACAGAGCCGCAG